ACCTACCTGTGTGTGTATTTACTCCATACAGCCTTCAGCTTATCGCTCGGTTGATTCTTGAGCTGAGAGTTTAGCCTCTTCACAAGGGGCAACAAATCTGTAGCCTGATATCCACTGTAATACTGAAGTGTAGCCGTCTAAAGTAAGTCAGAAAGGAGTCACGCATTACTCATACAATACAAAAAATCTGAACATTTCTAATAGTACACACTATAGCTAAATACAATAAAAAAACTTTTAGATGATGTGTTAATAGTGGGCAAAATATAGTAAAATAGATCTAAGCCTCTTTACCCACTGCGCCCACAGCGCTCTTTACTCCTCTAGTTCCCCTTTAGCGCTGGCTATGCCTGGGCACAGAGATCTGACATTTTAGGCCTCATTTACACTGGTTTCAAACTGTGGCATTGAACACGCTTTTTTAAAGCACTCTGAATGCCAATCAAAGCCCCATCACTAAATAAAATGGTTACAATAAAGTCTTGTTCACACTGTTGCATTTGCTTTGCTTCACAAAATTATACCCCATGTCACTTTCTTGATGCTTCAAAGTGTCTCCCATGCCTCCATAGAAGAGTATGACAACGCTCGCTAACGGCCCATGCAGCATTTGAAGGGCTTTTTTTTCAGTTAGTTTTGCAGTGACTGCAGGTATGAGATATCCCAGGATGCACTTGGAAACCAACAAGTGACCGGAAAGATGCCATCAGCAGTCACTTATAGTTCATGTGTATATATTTTGGGAGTGTCTGGTGCAGACATCACATCTGGTGCGCAGCGTGGAGCAGCAGGAAGGTGAGCAGGGGCCAGACTAGTGCAGAGCAACTAGCAGATGACACATGTGGTGTGCAACATGGGAGCTCTAGAGTGGAAAGCGAGTGAGGCCTGGAGAGAGCACTGAGCAGCAGAGGATCAGCAGAGCTGGAGGATCGGAAAGGGAGAAAATGGGAGGAAAGCGAGAGAGGAGGTAGAGAAAAAGAGAAAGAAAAATACAGCAGAGCTGGATGACTGAATTGGGAGAAACTAGAAGATGTCTCAGCATGGAAGCAACATAGTAAGAGGTGAGTGGGGACTAGAGAGAGAGGAGGATCAGCAGACCTGAGGGTTACTACTGATCTGCTGAGAGGAAGGGAACCAATGAGCTGGGGATCTGTTGAGAGGAAGGGAACCAATGAGCTGGGGATCTGCTGAGAGGAAGGGAACCAATGAGCTGGGGATCTGCTGAGAGGAAGGGAACAAATGAGCAGGGGGATCTGCTGAGAGGAAGGGACAAATGAGCAGGGGGATCTGCTGAGAGGAAGGGAACCAATGAGCAGGGGGATCTGCTGAAAGGAAAGGGAACCAATTGAGCAGGGGATTTCTTGATAGGAAGGGAACCAATGAGCAGGGGATCTGCTGAAACTGCTGAGTAGAAAGGGTGGGGGGGACCAATGAGCTGGGGATCTGCTGAGAGGAATGGAAACAATGAGCATGGGATCTGCTCAGAGGAAGGGAACCAATGAGCTGGGGATCTGCTGAGATGAATGGAAACAATGAGCATGGGATCTGCTGACAGGAAGGGAACCAATGAGCAAGGGATCTGCTGACAGGAAGGGAACCAATGAGCATGGGATCTGCTGAGAGGAAGGGAACCAATGAACAGGGGATCTGCTGAAACTGCTGAGTAGAAAGGGTGGGGGGGACCAATGAGCTGGGGATCTGCTGAGAGGAATGGAAACAATGAGCATGGGATCTGCTGAGAGGAAGGGAACCAATGAGCTGGGGATCTGCTGAGAGGAATGGAAACAATGAGCATGGGATCTGCTGAGAGGAAGGGAACCAATGAGCAGGGAATCTGCTGACAGGAAGGGAACCAATGAGCAGGGAATCTGCTGACAAGAAGGAAACCAATGAGCATGGGATCTGCTGACAGGAAGGGAACCAATGAGCATGGGATCTGCTGAGAGGAAGGGAACCAATGAACAGGGGATCTGCTGAAACTGCTGAGTAGAAAGGGGGGGGGGGGGGACCAATGAGCTGGGGAACTGCTGAGAGGAATGGAAACAATGAGCATGGGATCTGCTGAGAGGAAGGGAACCAATGAGCAGGGAATCTGCTGAAACTGCTGAGTGGGAGGGGGGGGGGGGGGGGAACCAATGAACTGGGGAGCTGCTGAGCAAAAGGGGGGGGGGGAGGCATATTATTGAGTTGGGGGTACTACTGAGCACCTCTAAAACAAGTATAAAATCACCACACACACACAGGGCATTTGTCAAGCTTCATTAAAAGTTTCAAAAAAGTATCACAGCAGCATCAAAACCACAAAATTGCTTTATGCAGTAGGTGCTTTACTGTGTGCTAATAAAAAAAAAAAAAAAAAAAAAAGAAGATCATCAAAGCAAGTGTAAACAGGCCCTCATAGGAGTGTTCCAAAAAGCCCCTCCAGCATCCGGAACAGCAAGACAAACAGCTACATACTTTGCTGAAAATCTTTGCTGGCTGCAGCTGTACAGTAGAACCCTGTAGGACTTATACAGAACTAACTCTGGACAATGCATAGATATAGCTAATAATGAAAAACTCTGCAGGAGGCCTTGAAATGGAGGAGAAGGGAGCAAATCCTTGCTTAAATCAGTTACGTGCTCCTTTGTATACAGAGCTGTGCTATGAGGCCAAACTCTAGGAATTGTAGACAGGAGGAACACTTCCCTGCATGAGCTGTGTAACCTTCAACATACATAAAAAGACATAGCAATGGAAGGGTGGCTCAGTTCACATGGTCCCTGTCACCTTGTAGAGCAGGATTTCTCAACCGGGTTCTGTGAGAAGTTCCAATGTGTGTTAGTGTGATCTACCAGTCAGTCGCAGGCACCTGATGGGTAAGATCACATTCCCTCTGCTGATGCATGCAGAGCTACCCAGGCAAGCGGCTGTGAAGCACAATTCCCCCCCTGGGTGACAACACCTGGGATAGACAGGAGGAGAGGAGGGGCAGGTGGGGAACAATGCGCCAGAAGAGGACTCATTATAGCCGCTTCCCTGCCCAGCTCTGCAAATGAAGGAGATGGCAGTCCTACTTCTCTTAAGTAGAGTACCATTTAAAGAGCTGAGTAGATTACGAATTTTGTGAGGCTGACACATGGTATGGAATCACTCACCCATCCGCCCACCTCTTTCATCTTCAGTGCAAGATACAAACTGCTGGCTGCCATCTTGGAAGCACGCTCCTGTACAAAGTCGTACTCTTGCAATGTAAGCTCGCATATGTAACGGGCAAGTGTCAGAGTCTCCATATTGGCATGGGCACACTGTAAAAATAAATGTAGGTTACTTTTCTACACAGCTACTTTTAAAAGCATTTTGGTCATAAGTTAAACCATGGTACATCATTTAAGCCCAACCCCACCAAGGAAGGTCTCAAGGCAGCAAGCCACGTCTTCCTTCATAATGAGCCACTGGTTGAATGTAGAGTTCAGTTCTTCCACCTGCTCGCTTTCAGGTCAGTACTGTGGACTGTACCACCATGGGAGGTCAGTGGAAGGAACCATGGTGTGGAACCAGAGATCAACTTATCGGGAAGTATTGGCTTCTGGTGAAGAAGACTTCAGCTGAGGACTTCTCTCCATGGGAGCAGACCAAATTTTTTATTTATTTATTTTTTAACTGGAACTTTAGTGTGAGTTGCTTTCACATCAACTCACCTACAGCCCAGGCTCAAGATGGAAGGAGCTCTACAGAACACCATGACCATAAACTTCCAAGTCAAGTTGCAAGGATCACAAGGGCTCCAGACCAAAGATGCATGTTTACTGTAATGGTGTTCCATAGAACCCCTGCAGACCCAAGATGGAAGGGGTCTATAGAACACCATGACCATAAACCTTCAAGTCAAGTAGTTGCATTGACCACAAGGGTTTCAGACCCAAGATGCAGGTTTATGGTCATGGTATTCTGTAGAACCCCTACCATCTTGGGTTTGGAGCCTTTGCAGTGCTTGCAACTATTTGAGTAGGAAGTTTATGATCATGGTGTTCCATAGAACCCCTGCAGACCCACGATGAAAGGGGTTCTACAGATTTGTTGCAAGAACTGCAAGGTGTCTGTACTTCAGCACATTTAAAGCATGTGAAGTGCACTCAATGGGCACGTTAGGACTTTAGGACTGCACAAGGTTTAGGACATAACGCTTTATTACATATATTAATATATTTAATTCATATTAACAGTTAATATTTCAAGACAAGCTTTTGGAGATAAATCTCTTCGCTTAGGAGCACCAAGCAGGACCTAGACAAAAGGGATAACACTTGGGGGGGGGGGGGGAAGCTTTGTAAAAAGTGAAGGCACATGGTAAGTTGAGTCCAAGGGGGTGCATGACTTCTCCTGGGCTTATCTCTATTATTATAGATTTGACAGGTTTGTTGCTCTGCCAGAGAGATACTCCAAAATTTGGGAAGAGAGAAGGACATGGAGTGGCTATGCCCAACCCTCCCCTCTGCTGCCCATTCACAGAAGCCTTTGTATTTTGTGAACAAAATATAAAGACTTCTGAGATTGGGCAGAAGGAGGGGAGAAGTGGACAATAGCAGCTACCACAACTCTCCAGATCAAGATGCATATCTCAGCGGTATCAGATTTGGGCTCCTGGAAATACAGTGATCGCTATCCTCCGGGAGAACTATAAAGCGGTCAGATAATAGAGAAGCCCAGGAGGTGTCATGCAATGCACTTCACTGGAATTAACTAGTTTTTTACAAAAGGAGCTGAATTCCTGAAATTCACTATTAACTGTAAAGAAAAAATAAATACATTTTATATTATACACACATACACTCTTTTTCAGTAAGGGCTCATAACGATAGATAGCTCTATCACTGACAGCACTCAAAAGATACCCTTGAACAACATAACTCCAGGTATTCGAATCGCTAGATTTCCAGGTTTTTCAACTCAGAAAATACCTTTGCGAAGCGACGCAGGAATCGATAAGGAACAGGAATATTTATGTCAAAGTTCAGCTTCTGTAGAATATCGACCTCCATTGAAATAAGCTCCTCCCTCTTGTATGCATCATCGCAGATATAGAGGAAGTCATCCAAGCAGGGTGGGCAACGTTCCTATAGACAACAAAAATGGATGTCAAATCAGAACTGAAGAGTTACAATGAAATTATATGTGCAAGCGTTTATCCCCCGAAATTATAAATGGCAGTTAGATGAAACTGAGGACTAAACTTCCATGAGTGTAGGTCACAGAGCCCTCACCATGTCTCCAGCCACCACCATCCATCATCATCATTCACCATGTCTCCAGCCACCACCATCCATCATCATCCACCATGACTCCAGCCACCACCATCCATCATCATCCACCATGTCTCCAGCCACCACCATCCATCAGTCACTATCCATCAGCCACTATGTCTCCCCTTATCACAGTTGAGGCAGCAGTGACTATGATGATTTCACACTGCAGATATAGAGCTTTGAGGCTATACACACACAGGCATGCCTAGTCATTCTAACATACCAGGAAACACTTTTTTTTTTTTTTTTTAAAGAGAAACCGCAGTCATATAGTAAAATTTTCAGGGTACTGTTTAGGCACAAGTAACATTTCTAAATGTTCTATAACATAGAAAACCTTCAGTTTTGAGTTTGGCTCCACTTTAAGCTATGGTGAAACGTGTTCTTACAGTGGACCCCTCTGCTATGCATGTAAGCTACCACCATGGGAGTTCTCTCTTGGTCTAACATACCAGTATAAGAACTGGCTCGGCCGGACGGGGACATGCCTTTGGTGACTTTACCTCAAATTTGGATGCAATGAGCACAGCAGTGGAACCGATAAGCTGCAACTTTTCTCTTGAAATAACAGAGACAGCTAAATAATGGTCCACCAACTTGATTGCCAAATAGAGAGTCTCATGGTTCAGCTCGAAATTCTCCTATGGGAACAAAAAAACAAAAAACACAAAAACAGTCCGTAAAACGGTTTGTGCAGTTTTGAAAAAGCAGTTAAAATCATCCCTTGCATCAAAGTATCTAAAGACAGTTTATTGTAGATAGAGTGGTTTGGAAGGGTTTGAACCCATCCGTTTTAGAGCTGCCTGTGTTCCCGCTGGGGAGATGCATCCTCTATACTTGTGACCAATGGGCTGGATGTGGCCTGTGGCACTTCCTGTGTGGCTCTCAGAGCTCCTGAAGAAACATTTCTGTTTCCCTACTGTCCTATGATACAGATTTCGAGCAGTCTCCCGCATCATGCTGTTGGTCTCGGGCCACCGCCTGCATCATGCCGTTGGTCTCGGGCCACCGTATCATGTAGCCCTTTAATGATGTGGAGGACAACACCTGAGACTTCCCATATCAAGAACGTTGACCACCACTGCTCTAGAATAATCCTGGTGACCATTGTCACCTGGTCTGAAAATGACTTTAAATCCAAATTTTGAGTTGTTACCAGAGCAGATGGGAAATCAATCAATAGGGACACTGCTCTAACCCCTTTCAGGACGACTCCTTCATTCAAGTATTCTGTGAATGGAAAAGCAGATGAATGACAGGATCGCCACTATCTTTTCACCAAAAGCATTGTGGGAGAATGGTAAGAATAGCACAGAGGGCAGAAGAAAGCTTGTAAGACGTATAACTCTTCGCACTAGCCGCAATGGATACCAACAGCATCAAAAAGGGAAGCTGCTCAGGGAACTATCTGCTGGCTAGGATGGCAACATAAAAGAGAGGACATGGGATGCACACCATGGAACACATTATAGCAGAGACACCTTGCTGTTTGACCTCCAGCTGTCTTTTGTCCTTCTGTCTGCCACCATTCTTTCCCAAGTTACCCAGCTCCAATCTCTGCAATATTATATCTACCCATCTCAAATAAAATGAGGATACATACTCCATCCAAACTGCAATAATCTTCAAAGATGTATCCTCATTTTATTTGAAGTTTAATGATTGGGAGCCCACCATTGACACATCTCCTTGTATTGAACTTGGATTGAGACATAAAAAAAAAAAAAAAAAAAAAAAAAAAAAAAGAAAAAGGGAGTGACTTGCCCTCTTTTTGTATGTCTATCTCTATCCATCTCTCCCGGGTTTAGAATGTGAACTTGAATAGAATTTTTTTTTTTTTATATTTCTATAGTGGCATTCTGACACTGGGGGTGAATGGACTAACTGCTACTGACATCCCAATGACACTAATACAGTGATCAGTGCTAATAAAAAGCACTCCCCTTACCCGGAAAATGCAAATCACGTGTAATTATGTATATACACACACACACACACACACACACACACACACATATATTTATTATACACACACATACTGTATTTTTCTTGTGGTTACCTATGGGTTTCCATTTGTATCCCGCAAAATTCTTCTGGCAGTTGTGGCTGCAATCTTTCTTGGTCTACCTGACCTTGGCTTGGTATCAAGAGATCCCCAAACTTTCCACTTCTTAATAGGTGATTTAACAGTACTGATTGGCATATTCAAGGTTTTGGACATCTTTTTATGTCCTTTTCCATCTTTATAAAGTTCCATTACCTTGTTACGCAGGACTTTTGACAGTTCTTTTCTGATCCCCATGGCTCAGTATCAAGCCTAGTCAGTGCTTCCACGCAAGAGCTAACAAACTCATTGACTATTTATACACTGACACTAATTGTAATTTAAAAAGCCACAGATGTGGGACATTAACCTCGAATTGGCATTTTAACCCATGTGTGTCACCTTGTGTGTCTGTACCAAGGCCAAACATTCCAGGGGAGGGGAACTTTTGATCTGGGCCATTTGGGTGATTTCGGTTATCATTATGATTTAAAAAAGGAGCCAAACAACTATGTGATCATAAATGGCTTCATATGATCATCATCCTTCAATAAAAGAGCATTTTTTGGCATGATCAGTCATATCTTCAATATCAATGCCACAATTTCCTCAAACTTTTGAGCACAACTGTATATATAATATATATATATATATATATATATATATATATATATATATATATATATATATAGTGAGATATATATATATTATAAAATTTTGCGCAGCCCTGCAGCAGCAATTATACTATAGGGTGGTGTGTAAGCAGTTACATATTTATATATATTATAAAATTTTGCGCAGCCCTGCAGCAGCAATTATACTATAGGGTGGTGTGTAAGCAGTTACATATTAGAATTTTAAAAAAAAAAAAAATAAATAATAAAACGAAAACACACACCGCACACAATTTCGGCACTAACCTGCACCTCCACCATCCAGTCCACCAGGATCGCCCTCATTTCCTTGCTGATATCACGCTGTGAATCAATATAATTGGGCAGTATGAATTTTTCCTGTGAAAGACACAAAGAAATATAAATTATTTTCGCAATACGAATGGATTAATTTGTTTTCAATGCATTTACAAATGTTTTTTAATCATGTCCCTTTATGCCTTTAAAGTGCACTTTACAAAAAAGAGTTTAACAGATAAAAGACGTTTTTTTTTTTTTTTTTTTTATACTTTTTTCTGACCTCCGGAACAGATTCATTGGTCTTCAATGCATTCCTATGGGAAACCGCGTTTTGATTTACGAATTTTTCGCAATACAAAAGTCCCACAGAAAAAATTAAATTCATAAACCGAGGTACACCTGTATTTATCTTTGGTTTTGGATGCACCTAACAACTGACGAATCCAAATGGAATTCTAAGGCGGGAGATGGATACAAAATGATGACCTGACATATTACAGGATAACTCACTTCTCTTGAACGCATGTAGTTGAATATGTCCAAGGCGTACTCCGAACTTGCAAATGGGTCACCCATTGAATCTTTATCAATGTCTTCAACATCTTTAGGCAAGCTCTGAAAATCATGCAGGCGGTGTTATTAAACATGGGGACTCCCAACATGACTAAGGGTGTGAGCAGCGTGATCAATACCTGTTCTGCAGGCTCCTCCTCCTTCTTTATCAGAGTCTTCACTTCTTCGGGGGTCACATTGGTATCTTTTTCATCCTTTACATCTACAGGCACCTCTATGGTGGCAACCTTTTTTGGAGCTCTGCAAGAAAAGTATTCAGAAAGCATGGTAAGTGAGGCAAGCTGACATAATTCAGTTAACATGGAATCTCAATGCTACTCATCTCCAGCCTCTTTGAACCACTTCCAGTCTACATGCACCGAATTTAACATCAGCTGAAAATAAATAGCTGATCTGAATTGGACGATGCCTGAGAAATGTGGCTCAGCATGGCCACTCGTGGGCCCATGTGACAACGCAAGAGCACAATTTGAAGACATTTGTCAATATATGACAGAAAGTCCCTGAACAAAGAGCTTCATGGCAGGGTCACCAGAGTAAAAACGAAAACCAAAAAAAATTACATGAATTTGTTAAAGCTGAGATTTTTTAATCGATTGGCTAGCAAACAAAACCTAGATGTATGCACTGTGGAGCAATAAAGTCTTAAAATTCTCAGCAGAGGTGATGACAACGGCATGTAAAACATTTTTAGCTCTCCCAGTTTACCTTCCCTTTAGTTAAAAAAGTAGAAAGCTGCGAGATGTGGTTCGCTCACCTTTTGGCATTGGTTTCATTATTTTTCGCGACGCCTTTTGTCTTCTTCAGAACCTTCTGCCCATCTTTCTTCTTCTGGAGCAGTTGTTGATTCTTATGTGCCTGCAGGAGACATTGGTTTATTCATAAAACTTCCAACTGGAAATCATCACCCCAGATCTTTGGATCTAGAGAGTTTTGATACCCACAACCAGGGCTGCTGATTTTGGGGTACAGGCACAACCCTTATGTATTGCGCCCAGGCCCTATCAGGCCAGCAGGCGGCCCAGTAGGAGTAATTTACAGTCCATAAGCCTCCTAATCCTGCCCCCCCCCCCCCTCTTCTCTCAGCTTCACATTCTCCATCTACAACAGAACCCACAACTTCATGGTCAGTGGTACAGCCTAACTAGCTTACTGCATGATAACTTTAGAGGATCATCTGTGCGCCATGCAAACAGCACCATAGCAACTGCTAAAGAACGGGCCCGATGGGCCAGTGGGTGCACCTTCTCCAGGTAAAGCTTCACTCAAAATCCTAGGGATGAGAGTCAGGGGGTCGCAGAGTGAGGCTTACTGGAGGGTGCATTGATGTAGAGTAATATGTAATGGGGGATCCAGGGGGATATAGCATATTGGGGTACAGAGTGTGAAGTAAGGGGGCTACAGAATGTGGGGTAATGGGGTATACAAGGAAAGAGTTTGGAGTAATGGGCGATGCACAATAGGGAGTAGTGGGGTATATAGGGGTACAGAGTGTGAACTAATGGGGTATAGAATGTGGGGTAATGGGGTATGCAAGGAGATGCAAATGATGAAGTAATGGGCGATGCAGAAAAGGAAGTATTGGGGTTAATAGGGGTACAAATTGTGAAGTAATGGGGTATGCAAGGAAAGAGTTTGGGGGGTAATGAGCAATGCGGAATAGGGAGTATTGGGGTATATAGGGGTACAAAGTGTGAAGTAATGGGGTACAGAATGCGGGGTAATGGGGTATACAAGGAGATGCAAAGTATGGGGTACAGAATGCAGGGTAATGGGGTATACAAGGAGATGCAAAGTATGGGGTAATGGGCGATGGTGAATAGGGAGTATTGGGGTATATAGGGGTACAAAGTGTGAAGTAATGGGGTATAGAATGCAGGGTAATGGGGTATGCAAAGTATGGGGTAATGGGCAATGCTGAATAGGGAGTATTGGGATATATAGGGGTACAGAGTGTGAAGTAATGGGGCTACAGAATGTGGGGCAATGTAGGGTGCAGGGGGTACTGCTAGAGTAGTGAGAGATGTAAGTGGTAGAGGATGCTCCAAGCTGGGGATGCAGAGTGCAGGATAATGGGGAGTTCATGGGTACACAATGTGGGATATTTGGAAAGGTCACCAATTGGATGGTACTGGGGGGCCATTGTCAGGTAGGTTCCCTATGATTTCTAATAGCGGTCCTGCCCGCAACACAACATATGGAATACATTTTACCTCCTGCTCTTCCACCAGGGATGTGTGGACACAGCATCACACAGGGGCTTAAAGTGGAACGGATCTCTGGAAGGCAGAAGTCAAAGAACTGCTCACCAGTGTTGCCTGTGATGTATCTACAACTGACCTTTCCCCATTAATGATTTGGCATGCCTTGTTCTGCAGTCAGCCATCTTGGTAAAGGCAGGGACAGGAGCAGGTGGAGCCAGTGAGAGCTGTGGAGGGGATCCAGGAGATTGACACTCCCTTTGACACCTTCAGCAACTTGACAGCCCCAGCTCTGTGGAAGGGGGTCTCTTTCCAACACTCAGCTCTCAGAGCTCTCCCCACTAAGCTGTGCAGTGTGACTTCAGCTCTCCACCCCCTTTTTTCTGAACTCTCAGACAAGCTTTTTAAAATTCTGGACTTTGAAGGGATGTAGAGAGGAGAAGACTGCAGATAAACAGGTACAACTTAAGTAGGAGGATTTTTTTTTCCATCTTTGTGTATCACCTGAGGCCAGTCACTTCACTGGATATAAATAAGTTTACTTTAATTTCACCTCAGCTACCGCTATGGAATATAGTAAAAATGCCCTCTTATTCCTTCCTGGCATGGACTCCTGAGCTAGATTCCAATGGTGGCTCCAGAAGGGGTTCTGTGATATTTACTCCCTGCTTATCCTTGAAGGAATAAATCTTTCAAATATTTTCAAGCGACCCATGCAGCCCCTGGCATTGAGCTATACTAATATATACAGTGGCACCACCCCTCTTGTTTTAACAACCTTTGAGAGTAAGTGCAGCACTAATCTCCGTACATCAGGCCTCATTTTCTATGATACAGGCCTTCATTTGGTCACCCAGGTCTTACCCCAAAGCACATTACCAGCTTTGATGGGAGAAGAAAATCTCTGCCTGAACAGGATTGAGCAAAAATATGGTTGGCTACAGCTAGGACCTCATTTAACATCCTAGCTATAGAAAACTCTACAACATTCTCTTCCGATGGTACCTTACGCCCTCTAGAATTGCTAAAAATGTACCCCAACGCTTGCCATTATGTTTTCGAATCTATGAACCAGAATCTATACAGTGATGGACTGACATACGCAAGGATCCGAATGAGGCCTATCATTTTTAATAACACCAAATTGCCCATTTATTGACGTCCCCCTGCAATGAGGAGGTATGTCTTTGGCAGGAAGAGGTATGTCTTGGATGGGCAGGAAGTGTTGGGCAGAAAGTGGTAAGTCTTGGGTGGGGAGGAGGTGCTGGGCAGGAGGAGGTGTATCTTGGGTGGGCAAGAGGAGATGGGCAGGTGGAAGTATGTCTTGGGTGGGCAGGAGGGGATGGACAGGTGGAGGTATGCCTTGGGTGGGCAGAAGGTGTTGGGCAAGTGGGAGTATGTCTTGGGTGGGCAGGAGGTGTTGGAAAGGAAGAGGCAAGTCTTGGGTGGGAAGGAGGTGTTGGGAATGAGAAGATCGGTCTTGGGTGGGCAGAAGATGTTGGGCAGGTGGTATGTCTTGGGTGAGCAGGAGGTGTTGGGAAGGAGAAGATATGTCTTGGTGGGCAGGAGGTGTTGGGAAGGAAGAGGCATGTCTTGGGTGAGCAGGATGTGCTGGGAAGGAAGAGGCATGTCTTGGGTTGGCAGGAGGTGTTGGGAAGGAAGAGGCATGTCTTGGGTGGGCAGAAGATGTTGGGCAGGAGGAGGTATGTCTTGGGTGGGCAGGAGGTGTTGGGAAGGAAGAGGCATGTCTTGGGTGAGCAGGATGTGCTGGGAAGGAAGAGGTATGTCTTGGGTGGGCAGGAGGTGTTGGGAAGGAAGAGGCATGTCTTGGGTGGGCAGGAGGAGTTGGGAAGGAGAAGATAGGTCTTGGGTGGGCAGAAGATGTTGGGCAGGAGGAGGTATGTCTTGGGTGGGCAGGAGGTGTTGGGAAGGAGAAGATACTGTATGTCTTGGGGTGGGCAGAAGATGTTGGGCAGGAAGAGGAATGTCTTGGGTGGGCAGAAGGTGTTGGGAAAGAAGAGGCATGTCTTGGGTGGGCAGGATGTGCTGGGAAGGAAGAGTCATGTCTTGGGTTGGCAGGAGGTGTTGGGAAGGAAGAGGCATGTCTTGGGTGGGCAGGAGGAGTTAGGCAGGTGAAGGTATGTCTCGGGTGGGCAGGAGGAGGTATGTCTTGGGTTGGCAGGAGGTGTTGAAAAAGAGAAGGTAGTCTTGGGTGGGCAAAAGATGATGTTCGGCAGGAGGAGGTATGTTTTGGGTGGGCAGGAGGAGTTGGACAGATGAAGGTGTGCCTTGGGTGGGCAAGTGGTATGTCTTGGGTGGGCAGGACAAGGAAGGTCTCAGGCAGGAGGTGTTCCTACAAATACTCACATTAGTGATGTCTCCAAATGCAGATCTCTTTTTTGCACCTCCTTGTGGGGAGGAAGGGGAGCGCTTTGTCTGGGTGCAATCCTCCTAAGGGGAAAAAAAATAAATAAATATATACAGAAAATATATGTTGAATTCTTGGATTTTCATACATTAATTCATACAAGGGCAGAACCCTGATCTCCCAGATCTCACACACAAAAAGATGTATAGTGGGGCAAAAAAGTATTTAGTCAGCCACCAATTGTGCAAGTTCTCCCACTTAAAAAAGATGAGAGAGGCCTGTAATTGGCATCATAGGTAGACCTCAACTATGAGAGACAAAATGAGAAAAAAAATCCAGACAATCACATTGGCTGATTTGGAAAGAATTTATTTGCAAATTATGGTGGAGAATAAGTATTTGGTCACCTACAAACAAGCAAGATTTCTGGCTCTCACAGACCTGTACCTTCTTCTTTAAGAGGCTC